ATATTTCCACTAACCTCCGATATATTTCACCCAACCTCCGATATAATTCACCCAACCAACACGTAATTTCACCTTTCGAAAATATATTTCACCTGACCACCGGTATATTTCATGGAAAGTAAATTAAAACCAACCCACGCAACATCTCTACGACATCTACGGCTCAAGCACCAACGTCCATGTCTTCCATGTTCTCAGCACGGACATAAAATGGCTCAAGGCGGGCCGTGTACACATGCAAACGATTCGGCTCAATTCCTAATTCATTGTTGAGTTACATCTTTTAAGTTGTCCGTCTGGCGGTGGCCCCATAAAGGCCGCGACTCGTTCGCGCAAATATGTCTTAATGCGGCTCTTCAACGCCGGCCACATATTCTTGATCGGGTTCAACATCGGGGAGTACGGCCCTAGTTTTAAGAACGAAGCGTCTTGACACGTCATGTTAGCGGTCAACAGAGAGACGTACCGGAGTTTGTGGTGCAGGGATGGCCTCTTCCATCGAGCTCAGATTCAAAAATGGTGAAAGCGCGCGAAACTCTTCGCGCGCTTCGATCTTTCTAGATTCCCAGCTCGAATTATAATGATTGTTAGGTGAATTATATTTTCGACAGTTGGAATTAACCGTAGGTTGGGTGAATTATTACGCAGGTTGGGTGAAATATAACGGCGATATTTTTGTGAAATATAATGGAGGTTGGGTGAATTATATTGGCGATTCGGTGAAATATATCGGAGGTTGGTGGAAATATATCGAAAATAAGCTGGAATTAAACGCAAAGTGGTGTAGTACTGAAATATATTTTAATAGATACCAGTGTATATCTTAATATATCGAAGTGGTAATATTGTTTTGAAAGTGTAACGTCAAAGTTGAACTATTAAAATAGTACTAGTACAACTTAATATATCAGTTTCTGAATAGCTCAACAATATTTCGTAGTTGATTTATTTGAAATACTACGTAGTACATGATTGGATGATGGCGTTGGCATTTTACCAATGAAAGCGAGATCCACCCATTAGACTTATTATTTCAACCAATCATAGTGTAGATTTTACCATCACCCGAGGATGATCGACGAATAGTCCCCATGAGCTCACAGTTAATTTCGAATTGACATTCTATACAGCGCACGATGACAACGCGAAACCCCAGCTACGAGCTCGGCGTCCAGCACGGCGCCCTTGCTGGCATCGGGCTCACGATTGGTGCCTCCATCCTCACGGTGGCGGCCACGGGCGCTGGCGCGGCGGTATGGAAGTACGTGAAGAAGCAGCGGCAGCTGTGGGACGTGGAGGCTCTCATCGCGCACCGGCGGTCGATTTTCCCCCAAGACTACGACGCTACTCGCAGTGTGCCAGAAGACGTGTTGAATAAACTACTCGAGAGTGCCAACTGGGCACCCACGCACGGCCGGACCGAGCCATGGCGCTTTGTCGTGTTTGGCGGCGACGGTCGCCGAGTCCTGGGTGAGAAGGACGCGGAAATCTACAAAAAGATCACCCCCGAAGCCTCGTTCATGCCGAAAAAGTACGCCAAAAAGTTGTCGTCGAAGTTACAAGCGTCGTACGTGATTGCGATCTGCCTCAAACGCCAAGACAGCAAGAAGATCCCCGAAATCGAAGAAGTGGAAGCTGTCGCGTGCGCGGTGCAAAACTTGCACTTGCGCGCGACGGCGCTTGGCGTGGGGGCGTACTGGAGCACCGGGCCCGGCGTGTACTCGGACGAAATGAAGGAATTCCTCCACTTGGGGGCCGACGACAAGTGCTTGGGCTTCTTTTACGTCGGGTACCCCAAACCCGACTTTAAGCACCCCATCGGATCGCGCAAACCCGTGCAAGACAAGGTCCGATTTGTATACGAATAGGAGAATCACGATATTAGCTACTTCTAATTGCACATTCGGGAATCAGATCCATTATTGGACTTTGCATCATGTACCAAGGAACGACGTTGACAGGGAAGAACAGTAAATGTAGCGCCAACGGAATTACTTCGTGATCTACCCAATCACTTCGTCGCAATCAGTTTAGTGTAGATTTATTTACACGTTAAGTATCATTGGTCATATGATATGTGGTATTTGGCCAATCAACTAGCTTTCTATTCAACGTCTATATATCGTGGTTAGAGACTACTAGTAGTGGTTAACGCGAATCGTTGTGCATCTTAGCCCGGTAGGATGGACACGCAACAAAACTAGCATCACAAGCCAGTGAGCTACATTGTTTAGATATACACGATGGAGTGCTCAATGGTTCGTGTCAACGGTTTCATCACACTATTTGAACTTCAGGCACTTTGGCCATTGTAACCACTTGTCCTTTGAAACGACTCTGGCCGCAGGTTTTTTGCCACCATCCAACATGAAACCATCAGATTTGGGACGAAATGTCATTCGCTTAGAATAACTCTCAACTTGATGTACGCGATAGGACATGATCGAGCGTTCTATGCGACCACGACAATAGGCTCATGGCGGGGTGGAATACCATGGTGTGCGAATGCATACGGACGACGGGTTCGAGTTTATTGGCGTCACCTAGCTTATGGCGGAACTGCACACCCTACACGCCTCCGATCCCAATTCCTTCGTAGTTGCTGCTGGCATGCAGTCCCGTGTCGTCGACGGTGTCGTCCAAAATGTTGTTGGCCTTTCGTTTCTTTGGTTCTGAAGATTTTTTCGCTGCCCCCTTGGACGAATACGACACACCCAATTCCTTGCACAGCACCGCGGCGTCGTCCCATTCGAGCACGCCGTATTCAAGGCACCATTTCTTCGCCATCTTGCTCTTCGGGTTCTGCGACAACAAGCTCTCGTAGAACACACGATCTGCGAACCCTGGAGACGGCGTCGGGTGCTTCTGCCCTGGCTTCCGGTTCGCTTCTTGCTCCTTGGACCACTCCTCTTCGTCCATGGTGCGTTCGCGTTGTGCGCTTCGACGTCGTCTCGGCCTTGGATTGGTGGATTATCCACCAATCCGCACTCGTTTTTATCCGGACGATCTTTTTATCCGTCGAACTTTTGAATGATCCAAGTCACTGGCAAAACCAAAAGTGCTTTCGCTGTACGGTGTCGCTTGCTTGATGACTGTACCACAGCTTGGTCTTACCTGTACAAGTATTCAACTCCATGAATACACTTTTGTAGTTGAGGGTGTCTACCGCCAGGACTCGGAAGGTTGTGAACACATATAGCTTCGTTTCTTTGTACCAACGCGACCCTGGGAATGGTTGCTTGCACTGCGATTTCGGATCTTCGAAATGTACACATAAAAGTCACGACTCGTTGGAGAAACGCTCGAATGTCCTCGTTTCACCAATAAGCACTCGCAGTTTAGGATGAATTCACCACTGTGTTGTGTGATTCCACAAAACATCACGTACTCGAGCAAAACCTTCGTCAGCGAATCCTACTTGTATGCACCAAGACTCATGTCCATTCTACATAGCTATGATAGTAGCGCCATTTTCTCATAAGATTACCTCACATATGCCAAAATGCACAGCGGGACGACAGCTCAGCTCACCAATTTGAGAGACATGCCACTTCAACTTGAACTCGTGGATATGGAGCATTTTGATTGGCGGATCGTATCTCACCTAGCACTCCATTGGTGGATGGCTGTGATCGTTTGTTGTATGGAACACGAGTATCGTGGAGTGTGATTGGCCCAATGTTAGTATCGGACGATTTGATTGGTGCGTTTGAAGGCTGACGGGGGTTCGAAATCTAGCGAGCGCTCATTGGCCCAGCGTTTAATCATGGCGAAATTGACCCTGAGCGCAGCGAAAACGGCGGTTATTGTTCTTGGTTTCGCCGAGTGGACAGTTCAGACACTTTTTACTACATGTAGAGAGAGCCCCATGGCCATTCGACAATTTGCTTCCGACGACCTACTCAAACACATGTCGACACAAGTAGTGACCGCCTCAGTCGCCGTCCCCACCAGCAAGGTTGGCGAGCAAACGCGATATCGATTGATGTACACGGACGAGAAAGTCAAGTCCCGGTACGACCTGGTGTTGCGAACAACCATCTCCCTGGCGTCCCACGAAAAGCGCAGCAACAGCAACACCATGCTCGCCCAAAAGGCCATGAAGTACCGAAAACTCGATCAAACCAAGCTGGCCATGACGTGCAACGACCCCAACGTCGATGTGTTTCAGTGCATGGGGATCCAGTGGTGCAAAGTCGAACGATGTACTTGATTGTGTGCCTTCGACGCTTAGTTAGGAATAGTGGTTAGCTCTTGGTGGTATTTGTACGTCCGTTGGCTTAGGATCTCATCAATAAAGGTCATGAGTTGAGTGATTTATTGGCTCGTGCGTTTTCGTGTACAGTTCAGTACTCATCCACGGTCCATGATAACCCCCACATATCGAGCACATGCCAAGGAAACCTTCCATCCGAGTGGGTTGTCCCAACACAACTGCACTCAAAGCATACAACCAGCTTTGAAACCCAGAGCTCAAAGCCTTGTGATTGGTTGTATTGGACCAATGACATCGCACAAATGTCAAACATATTTCACAACCACATTGTGGATTTTCCAGACCCCGTCAAATCCCTCTCGCCGCCGAATCGAATCACGAATCGACGCTATTGGCTAATCCAATTTTGAGTGGATTTGATTGGCTGTTACAGAAAGGTCGAGTACTAGTACTAGTATACCGGTAGTCAGCCAATCAGAACTTCAGTGTGATTCAATATTGATTAGACCAAAACCACGCGAATTTCGAAAAATTATACTAGCGAATTCACAATACCTGATTGGATATTAATTGAGTAAATGCCAGGCGATGAAAAGCAAGAGGCTAGCTACTACGTATGGGAAAGGTTCAGTGACACTTTTTACGACCCTTGGATGTTCCTTTACCGGTATTCCAAATTGCTATTAACAGTTTGTAAGCTTATAATAGTGTTTCTTAAAGAGGAGAATTAACGTAGTTCGTAGGACTTAAATTCATGTCAAAACTCGTATTGGTGTTAGATGAAAAATGAACTAAAAGAGTGAAAATATCCATAGGCTGAAAACAGTTCTGACGCACTAGATTTTATCCAGTTACCCATCACACTCAAGAAAGTTACAGGTGATTGGCTGAAAATTTAAGAGTGATTGTTTTCGACAAATCATGGATCATGGCGTTGTCACGGAACTACACCGATACGTATACAGTAACAGTACTGTAGCACTTCCTGAACTAGGAGGTCACTTTGAAACGATATGGCCCATTTAGTGGAGGCGCAGTGTGACGGTCTAGTACCAAGGTCATATGACAAACAAACGGCAACCTTCAACAATCGGATCTACGGCCACACGCGCTACTGTCGTGTCATGTGCTACATTGTGCGTACCTCCTGTTTCAAGTCGGCCCCTTTCTTACGTGCAATACAGCACAGCTCGACATGTTATCAACCCTCATGGTCAACTCTGTGGTGCTCTTGATACAGTACCAGTATCTTTCGAGCTGGAGCTGCAACGAATCTTGGGGAGTTGGAGAGCTGTGGGGAGATTCCACGATCCACATCTCAGTAGGACACTGTGCTAGTACAGTACAGTACTGTACGTACGGTACTACATAGTACTTCGTAGTATGTGTCGTAACTTCATAACTTGTCCAAGTTGTGCGCTATACACAATCGCATGAGTCTGCCGCAACCTTGCAGCCCCCAACAACGTGGCCCTGAGCTATTTTGGTTCCGTCTACCCTGTAGTGACCAAACGTGACAGTTGGAAATCAATTCTCTGCTTGCCACGACTAATCTGTGAACCACCAGGGCGGCTGTGATGTCACCACGCTACAAGCCATCATATGAAGGCTTGTTGACACGTATTTTATTAAACAAGTATTTTTGGCAAACCTATGCCATCCAAAATCATGATTTTGAAACGAACGACGACCAAATACTTGGCCATTTGTAGCAACTATGCTACCGGTTGTGGTCGTAGAAAATGTCATATCCCTCCGCAATAGTGATTAATCCTCGACCAATCCGATCGTTGGATTTCGACAGTCCATATGCCAGCAGTTTCCCACGAACTCCATCAAACCAAGGACACATTTTGTGTTTGTCCAAATCCCCGCCCGGTCAACATGTACTACGCACACGATACCGTCGCGGAAGAGAACGAGCGCTTACGCCAAGAGCTCAAGCGTGTCATGACGGAGAGCAAGTCGTTGCAGCATCAAGTCACGCAACTCAAGCAGGCGGCGGAGCGCGAGGCTGCGTTTCGCCAAGTGTTGGAGTCGGAGCACGAAACCCTCCGCCGCTTCATCTGCAGCTCGTTTGGACTGCCGACATCCACGGGTTCGACTGGATACGGCGGATTCAATCCTACGGAAGTGCCGTACACATTGAGCTTGACGCGGTCATGGAGTGACCCGACCAAGCAATCCAGCTCCACGGACGACTCGACGGGCGCGACTCGTGTGTTGACGAAAAGTGCAGAAGCCATTCTAGCGTCAAGAACTCCATCTGTCGTGCGAAAAGGAGAGCGGTCTGTGCGCCTTCAAGAAGACTGGATCAAGGAAGCGGACACCCCGATGACGACGGTGTATGGGTTGGGGTCGGAGCCATGGAGTCGGTTGCTGGCCGATTGGTCTCAAGGGGACGCAAAGAAGCACGACTACCTAAACCAGTGGCTATCGTATCACTTGAACGGGAAGAGGGATGCCAAATCTCCGTTTTCAAACCCCCGCGTCGAGCTCAAGTCAATGAACTCGCACATGCTCGCAGGGTTCCTCCAGCTTGTCGTGCCTGTGCTGCAAGCCAGCCGCCCGGACCTGAACGTGGACGTGTACACCAAGGACTACGTGGGCCACAGTCTGCGCATCGTCCTCGAAGACAAGCACAGCCGCAGCTCCGCGATCCACGACAACAACTACACCGCCGCCCCGTCGTCGACTTGCTTTGACACCTCTCGAGGATCGTTGCGATGCCTCGCCCCAATTCACGAGCACTTGCCCATCCGCTAAGCTAGACAGAAAGACACCCCGAATACTAATACTATTAACTTAATAATCTTGCATACTGAAAGTACAGAAGTTCGTCTGTTCCAAAATACTACTTCGAAGTACTACGTAGTAAGTAAATACTACGTAGTATTGTGGGTATTTTTGAGTGAGGTCTATACTTGGAAATTGTATTGGAAGCTGCACTACGATCTGATATATTTCTGAGAAATTTCGTATTTTTATTCAAATTCACATTTTTACGACCAACCGGATGAGGATGTGACGGGAAAGCACAGATCAAATCGATATAATCTTTGAGAAGTAACGTTAGACCTATATCATGAAAAACAAATGCACCAGGCTTCTATTGACATACAGTATACTGCTTTTGTCGCATAAGGCATCACGACACTTGGCTCAGATTTCAGATCATTCAACGCAATGTTTAGCATATTGATGGAACTCTTACTATAAAATAAGTTTGCACAAGCACCAGGTTGATAAGATTTGCAATAGCATTGGCTATAACAAAGGAATAGATGCATTCATAGTGGTCATTATTGACTCACTCGCGAGTTCGTAGTGATGTTGTTCATGTTTCCCCATGGTTGTGTAGGGAAAAACGCTCTACGACCAGGTCTTCCGAATCTTGCAACATAGGTACCTCGGTATGCAGAGTGATTTAGTCGATTTGGAGGGTAGCTAGCTATATCTACGCATCAATACGAGTCGTTTGAGCCTACAATCTCCATAATCGGACCAGAAATGAATGAATGGCCGAGATTTAAAGTAAAAACATATGATAATACTTTCTTGTATGGAGTCGATCCTCGACTGCGAATAAAATTAAACAAAAAATATGTCCTTGTTCCACATGGAATAGGCTACAAAATAAGCCTAATTAGGGACAAATAGCAAACACACTTCATACAATATGTTCCGTCCCGTAAACCCACAATAGTATTCTGAAACGGAGGAAGTATTGTGGATTTGATATACAAATTTCCCAAGTTCGTTCAATCGAGCACAAATAGAGCCGTGACATCTGATTGGCCATTATCCACTTCGCCCTTTCCAGTAGAAACTCGAAAATGGATTGTAGCCAATCAGCAACAAGTAATTTCGGATTGGCCAATGGGAGAGATTGGTGCTCGATTCGCGGGGTCCGGAAATTCATACCGAATCTCCAATACTACGTACAGTGGTTGCCGGTAAAACCCGGCCAGTGCAACTTTTGCCCATGACTTGAAAATACTATGTTCAGTGGTATGGCGCACAATCAAAATATAATGAAAATCACTTCGTGCAACTCCGTGAAGACGACATGTATTGGCTAAAACTAAAGTCAGTGAGTCCGGATAATGCGCGTCGCACGCGTCGCAAAACCGGATAACGCGCATATTCGAGTGTCCGCAACAATCTCACACAATACATGACCATCAAATTGTAATGAATTAAATCTCAAGTACTGATGGGATCGCTTTATCAAAGGCTTTCACAATCGTGTCTGTCGAAATACGATCCCAGACCTTAATCGTCCGTTTCACTGTGGCCAAACGCTTCTCTTGTGCCGTCAAGATGTCGCCGTTGCGTTCGTCGTCTTCTAGCAACCACGCTGTCTTCAGCGT